TCGGGCTCCAACTCCTTCCGGCAGCCATGCCATAGATTTGGCCCGATCAAAGACTCCCAGCTTTCGTCTTGGTGGCATGTTGATGCGATACAGGATTTTGCGCAAACGGCGCCCTTTATTGCCACCAAAGTGAGCACAGTTCGAGACCAAACGTCCATTTACAACATGCATCAGAAATTGTAACTGAGGAATGTCCATGGTGTTGCAAACAAGTCGATAAAAAAAAGAAAACAATGGCTAAAATTTCTCAAGGATTTCCGTGCTGCACGTGGTGGTTTTGCTCATTTTGGAAGTTTTGCTGTACGTATTGGTAACCCATTAACACTTTTAGAGCAAACAATTTTGAAACATTCTTTGCTGGGGTTTTTTCGGATTTTAAAAAAAATCAGGGCAGTCTGTCAAGGTGGTCCTTAACTTATGTTGAAGTCTGTGATATGGTAGCAAGAGAACTCACGAACCTCAAGAGAAACAGGAACCAGATCGCAGTGCAGACCTCTGAACCTGCAGGTAACACATAGCTATCGTTCTAAAAAAAAAACCCAAAATTTTCACTGAATACAATTTCCCGTGGCACGGTCTGTAACTCTTTTAAAACGTATTTTTTTACTTCTTCATCGACACAATTTAGATAAATTAGGACGCAGACTACGACCCCGCCTGTCACGGCCAACCAGGGCTGAGAGGGATATAACGCCGCAACAGAAAGACCGAGATACGGTACTGGATAAAAATCGAAGTCATCTGACAGCATTCCCGAGCAAGGAGTCTTGACATGGATTGTAGAGAAATGCCTGAAATAACGAAGTGGGCTAATTGACCATGCATTTTTAGACTTTAGTTTTCTAAGCTTCCTTTTAGCGGACTTCACTGCGGTCCTTGAAAAATAATTGCTTGAGTGTTCCCAATAACGACTAGTCTAGTCGGTCCGAGTCGTGGTACTCACCACAGCGGTTGTACTGACCCCAAAGCAGTGCTGGGTTCGTGAGATCCGGTGATTTATGCTCACCTACGAATTACCTCTTGACCTTCAGGCAGGGGTGATTTCCCCTGCTTTGTCTCACCATCTCTGTGTATTTGTGTCACGGTGCGATAGAATCAGATGCTCGTCAATTTTGTGGCATATGGGTTTTTTTTAGTTTTAGCAGAGTTTTTACATCAATCGCAACTGCATAAGGTCATATGAGTGCCAGAAGATTAGAGGTGTTACAAATATAAAAAAGAAGAAGGGGAGATAAGGACGATAGATTTTTTATAGGAAAGAAGGTGCAATCCACACCAGAGCACCCGCCAGCCGCCCTCGGGAATATGGAGTTGGTGGCATCATCTTTAAGCTTGTTGGTTTATTTTTCTTTTGATTGAAAAAAAATAATTTTGTTTTGACTAGAACTTGATACACTTTGCAATTGGAGGAGGTGGGGGTAGCCTGTTGTCAGAGGTAAAATCAGTGCGACCACCAAGGTTTGGTGACTACCAAAGCTTGAGTGTCCATGGAAACTTCAATATTTCAATTTTCTGTGTCTTGGGGGGAAGATGTTTCAGAAAACTTACTCACACAAATGTGTTTTAATACCAACATTAAAAAGGCTGGGGAAAAAAACAGATCAAAATTGCCCAACGAACAGAACAATTCCGATTGCTTTAATTATTAATTTTTTTTTTTTTTGACGAGCACTTGATTGCACCAAGACGCAAACGATTTATTTAATCAGTTTGATCCAAAGTGCGATGTAAGCGGATGGTTTGATGACTCTTCTAATAATTATAGAACCTACTTTCTTGCTTTCCTTCCTCTGTCTGTTTCTTTCTTTCTGTCTGTCTGTCTGTCTGTCTGTCTGTCTGTCTGTCTGTCTTCCATTTTTCTTTGCACTAGATGGCCGTGATCTGCTTCTCTGTACTAAGACAGTAGACGTAAGAAAAACAATAATTATTATTCTATACCGTGCACTGTTACGGCTGCCGCTCTTTGATCTCTATAAAAATTTCACTAGGAAGCGTTCGCACTATGAGTGCCCACATGAAGAGAAAATCCCTAACCCTAACCATAACTCTGTATACTATTAGCTCAGTTGGTATCATGCTAAGCTACAGCGTTGTTGGATCATGTTGTAGTTTCCTGTGGGTTGTTCTTGATCTTATGTTATATGAGCGGGGTTTTTTATGGCTCTTCACACTTCACACAAGCTTGGTCCTTTCGGAGATACACGATATAAATGATGTCTTGTCTCTGTTTAGTTTTAGTAGAGGTTTTATGGCACTCGCATCTGCATAAGGTCATATGGTCGCCAAGGGGTGGATGTCAACAGAGAAGTCCTTACAGGGAATCAGACTTACTCTGCTCACCTCTCTTGCTTCAACAGCACAAAGTCTGCTTCGACTATCAAGGCACCCCGGAAAAAGTGGGTCACAAGAGTGTGACAAACAAGCAAAAGAAGTACAGGAAATGACAATAGTAAGAATTAGGAAAGAAAAAA